TACAATTGCTATAAGCCTCTGGCCTATAAGGCTCTTGTCAGCTCTCTGAGGATTGCAGCAGGGTGGGGCTGGCCTCAAGCACGGGAGCACCCAATTGTTTCAGGCTTTGGAAGGTGGGGCAAACCCCCTATGTGGGTCTTTGAGAAGTACAATCCTTCTAAGCCTTCTGCAGCTGACAAGCCCCACTGCCCACAAGTCTCTACACACAGTCAACACAGTCCTGCCCCACATGGGTGCCCCGACCCGCTGAAGTGGACCCCATCTCTCCAAGGCAGGAGCCCCACACACCAACACCCCACACTCTCCACCAGCTCCTTGTGCACACCCTGCCCCACTGAAGTGGGCTCAGTCTCCAGGCTCTGGAGAATCCAGTCACCAATCTATGCAGGCCCACAAGTTGCCCGAGGGCTTGTTGTTGGGTGGGGCCAGCCCCTGGGGTGGGCTGCCTGCCCTGGCTGAGCTGGATTAAATCGGTGCTCTAGCGGGTGGGGCAGACCCTGGGCTAGCAGGCCCCAGGGAGAACTCCAATGGCGTCTGTGTCAGCACGCCCACACCAGGCCACAACATTCGCTGCCGCCAATTTCCCAGTCCCTGGAGAGTTGTCACCTCTCACCGAGATCCACTCAGAGCCTATCAGGTGAGTCTCTTTTTACCAAAGGACTGTGCACCTTTCTTTCTGGTGATTTTAGGTTGCTTTCCGAGAGGGGTGAATTTGTGCGTGGGCCCTTTGAGAGCCGCCTTTAATTCCTTTGTGAATCATCTTTTCTGTGGGTATTCCACAATGTTGTTAGTAGTGAGCAAAGTCAGATATTATGCCACTCGTCTCTATTGTGCTGGGTCCACAAAATGCCCACAGCGGGGGTGCTCCCCAGCTCAGGGCCCTGCTCCTCCAGAGAAGCTGGCGGCTTGTGAAGGTGGCGTTTTTCCTCTCCAGAAGGGAGTTTCTGCCTCTTCCACCTCAATTAGGATTGTGCATTGTTGCAGGAGTTCCTCTTATCCAGTTTTCAGTTCTCTCTCAGGGGTAATTTTTCCACGAGTAGTTGTAAATTGGCTGTGTCCGCGGAAGGAGGTGAGTTCAGAGTCTGCCTACACCACTGTCTTGACTTCTCTCTGATTTTATGCTTTTTATGTGCCATCACTCTTTCTAATATCCACTTCTATAATTGCACTCACACTAGATTATGATCATTTACTTGTCTTTCCTGTGCGAGTGTGAAGCCCGTTATAGAAGTATCTAATTTGCCTTTGCAGTACCAAATACTTAGCAGTTCCTGGCACACAGTCACTGCTAAAAGAATGCTCATTAATGATTAAATTGTTAACATTGTGTTCCTTGACCTCCTCAGGTAGACTTTAGTACTTTCTTGTTTGTGGTCCCATGGCCTGTATATACCTCTAATATTACATGTACTTGTTAGAAAATTTCTCTCTGTTAGCCGATTGACCCTTATAGGGTAGGGTTAATCTTTTTATCTCCCATTACTGTCACAAGACACTCCATAAGTGTTAGCTTAGTAAATGAATATAAGTATGCATGCATTAGTAAATGAAACCAAATTCCATAATGGGCTGAAGAGGAGAATCCTACAAGAAGGAGAATCGGTGATGTGCCAGAGTTTTCTTATACCAGCTCATGAGAGTCAATTGATAAATATTTAGGAATTTTGTGAGCAAGTTGACATCACATTGGTATCTGAAAATTAGCCGTGATAGAAACACTTTATGTCATAGAAATTGGCCAATGCTATAACCAGGGTGTTTTGTGTTTTTGTTTTTTTTTCCTGAGAAAGCTAGTGTAGAACATTTACCAGCACCCACAGTCAGACCCTTACTCTTAGGTCAGATGTTTACACATGTTATATCTTGGAAGGAAGGAAAAATTTGTGAATAGGCAAGGCAGGATCCAGTTGTTCCACAGCTGTTTTAACACAGCCCCAGATCACTCACCAGAAAATAACCTCCCTCACTCCTTTCAGCTAAGCCCAGGAGGTGAGATTACTGATTCTCATGCTTTGCAAACTGCATTAGCTACACTGGATGCCTACTATCAGAGGGCTGATTTCCCACTGTCTGAGAGGATCAGATGGAAAGTGTTTTCCCCTCTTTCTCACATAGAAGAGTGGACCTGAAAGAATAATTTGTTGGCTCAGCTGTTTGTAGTTTCTTGCAAGTTACTTTATTTGTTATTTTTTTTTGTCAGTCTACACCTCATTTTCTTCATTCTTCAGGTTTGAAACCCAGTTTGAGTAATGCTGTGATCTTATGCTCATAATGAGTTCAGAATGAATTTATCTCCATAAAACAAAGGAATTGACTTAGCTCTAAGATTTAGTAAAAGAGGAAAATTATAAGGCAAAATAAATGGAAGCCCTAAAATAAAAATAGTATTAGTAGTTATGTTGTGGCAATACAAAATGAACTTAGCTGATTTTGCCGAATGTGCCATGGGAAGGATGACAAGGTGTCTAGCTCACTAACTCTTTCCCTCAATAAACAGTATTGGCACAACTACTAACTGCCACACCCTGTGCTAAGTGCATGGGATTCCTTGGTGTGCAAATCAGTAATGTCCTTTCCTCCATGAAGCTTATAGTCTAGTGGGGGATCCAACAATGAAACAGACAATTAAAGTACAGGGGTAGTTAGGTGCTCTGATGGAGCAGTACACAATCACTGGCTCAAGCTTCCACCATAAAGCAGAGAATGCTAAGTCTACCATGCAACCTCCAAGAAGTGTGTCTTTCTTTAACTTCAAGTCATCTCAATTGTAACAGCGTTCATTAAATTCTTTTGGACGGGAGCAGTAGGAAACAATTTTGACTAGCATAAGCAAAACCAGGGAATTTGTTGGAAGACTCTGGACATATCTCACAAAATCAAAAGAAAACTCAGAGTGCAAGAAGGGAAGGAAGTAGACAGATTCAGCAACCCAGTAGTGGGAAACAGTGAACACTTTTGTCTAGATTCTCCCTGCCATTTAAAGAACTGAGCTCAACTAACTCATAGGCTCCCTTTCTCCTCTTCTGATTGACTAATTTGGCTCTGGAATCCATCTTTGGATAAAATAGCTATGGCTATGTTGACAATGACATTTTCTACAGATATTGACCTTAGGAACCCTTACTTCCTAGTGTTGGGGTTGGCTCCCAGGGAAAGGTGACCTCTGGGTCTGGTAATCAGCTCAGAAGGTGCCAAAAGTACCAAAGTTGTTGAAGATGCATGTCGCGAAGAGACATGATAAGCAGATAAGCTTATAGGCATGGAAGCAGCCAGAGTGAAAGTAGAGTGCTCTGTGACTAGCACTCTCAGTCCTGATACACCCAGAAGGATCTATTAATTAGCCACATTCAAGGGCTTTGTCACTCGGGCCTTACTTTCTGAAGTCTTTTTACTGAAGCAGGAAGCATCATAAGCTTGTAGAGTTCACTGTGTTGTCTCCTCGATAGCAGTCTTATTCTTTAAACCAACTCCATTCAGTCAATTCTTACACACCAGTGTAATTCACACCAAAAGAAAAAGAATACTTGAAGAGCAGAAAATAATAAAGACAACCTTGTGTAAAACACGGGACTCATGTCTGTTAACAGTGTGAACACTCTGAATCTGCTGTAAAGATCTCTGCCTGTGCTGTCACTCTAGATAGCACGGTGGGCCAGCTAGTGAGCACTCGGCTAATACCCATCTCCATTACTCTGCATTGTGCTGAGGATCAGAAAAATTCCCTAGACAATCAGGGATAGTGCCAAACTTTATCTCTTCTTCCTTTCAGAGTTCCTTACCTCTTAATATTTCCTATATTCTTCCCACGGAGGTGGGTTCTCTCCTCTTCATTGAAACTGTCCTTGCTAATTCCTAAATTTCATTTGGGTGCAACTCTTCTCCAAAGCCCCATTATCATCCCTCCCTTTTTTTTTTTTAACATCATCACTTTCTTAGGCAGCTTTATCTATTACCTTAGCTTCAACATTTACAGATTATTTATAGATATTCTCACCTCTGTATCTGTAGTTCAGATATCTTAGCTCTAAAGAGCCCACTAAATATGTCTTCCTGTCTATTCTCCCCAAAATCTAAATTTTGAAATTTCATCTTACCTTGAAAATCCATTTCTATTTTTGCTATTGAATGGACATTCGTCCCCTGTGGTTGGCCAACTCCTTTCAATACCTCCCTTTATCTTTGTAATTCCTCAAACTATGAGTCCTGCCTTCCTAAGATAGAAGCCAGAAAACTCACACCCACAAACTCCTTTGCATCTACAGTGCAGGCATAAGAACTAGGTTTGACCAATCAGATTTTATGCATTATATATATTAATAACAGAAACTTTAGGAACTTATGCAGCACTGATTATTCCTTGTTGAACTAGTCAGTTGTCAGGTCTGACTGTGGTGTCAGATCTACACTGTGACATTCAGGTGAGTCTCCAAAGCCTCTCCCTTTCCCTCAGGATAATGTACAGTGCACTAACATGATCCTCTATAATCTGGTCACTGCTAGTCTGTATAACTTGGCGTCATATCAATCCTCTTACCTAAAAGCAAGGGGCTATTATCTTGCATATAATGCTCACATTTTAAACATCTCAAGATATATCTCTGAAAAGCAAGCAACCTTTTTGCCCTTATTCAATTAAACATAAATAATTACCTTGGTTTGTTAGTATGTCCTATTTCTTGTGCACAAATTAGCTATGATTTGACAGGAAACTGTGAATTGACTATGTTTCCATATATGTTTTATATCACATACACATATTTTTGGATTTACAGAATTTTATTTCCTAAGCTCATTCAATGGATATAAATATATTTTAAAGAGAATTTAGTTAAGAATCAACTTGGAGCTCCCCCTCTTGTTCAGAAGGCAATCATAAATTTGGGAATTTAATTGTGAAGTCCAAGAAAGAGCTCTTGCTTCCTGGATTGACTTGATGAATTCCCACATCAGCTGGGCCTGTCTTGCTCTCAGACTTGCATAAAGAATGGTGGTCACAGCAGAAGAAGTAGTGATAGTCTCTCTACTGCTACCACCGAAGGCTGTCTGAATGGTCACTATTAATCTTCCCTGTAGAGCCGAGTATATCCGTTTGGACAAACAACATACCCTTCATATTCCATCTTCCCCAGGTCAAAGCTGGATTGAGGACAAAATTGTATACAGAGCACATTCATTCAGGACAGCTGAATGAATAGCTTGTGAAACAGATTCTTCCTTAATAAGGTAATTAAGTAATCAGACACTGGCTTCGCCAAGCTCTTCACCAGAAACCAAAATAACAACAACTTTCAGGGGAAGCCTCTGAGAATTTTTCCAGGAGAGAGATTCTAACTCACTCTCATTCTTCTTATTGTGCAGCTACATATAGGGACTTTGAGAGCGTGAGACCCCCACAGCTTCAGTTCCATGGGTGCTGAAGAGCAGATTCTCCACAGAATGGCGACTCAGTATCCTCTAGGCTTCACTGCTTGGCACCCTGCTCCAAACCAGTTTCTTCTGTGAGGCACTTTGGAATTGAACAAAATAATGGCTAGAGTCTAGAAATTGTTATTATTCTAGTGGATGTAAAAATTAAGAGAGACAGAGAGAGTTCTTTTAATGAAATCTAAGGCTACTAAGAAGGAAGGAGGAGTAGATGGGGAACTAACATTTACTGATGCCTAGTCTCTAGCTCACTGTGCCAGGAGCTTGACATGCTATCACATTAAATCTTCACAAAGATATTTCCCATACAAAGTATTTTCCTATTTCAAAGATGGAGAAACAGAGATTCATGGAAGTCAAGTCATTCTTCCCATTGCACAGAGCTAGTAAGGAGCAAAGTTAAGATTCAAAGCTAGAGATGTCTGATTTTAAAAATCCTGCTCTTTTGAGCCAGCCCTGATGGCCTAGTGGTTAAAGTTTGGCACTTTCACGATTTTGGTGGCCCGGGTTCTTTTCCTGGTAGTGGAACCACACCACTTGCCATGCTGTGGCTGCAGCTGTTAGTCTGTCAGTTGCCATGCTG